TAACGTCAAAATGACGTCTGCTTGCTACCTGGGATGGAACTGTCTCTGTCAGTCTGTCATACAAAATAATTGTACTTGTATTTATTTTCTTCATTGTTCTGCAAAAAAATATAGAAAGTAAGGAATATTATTGTAATATAAAATCGTTTTGCATATTTAAATATATCTAGTCATACCATGATTGTTTATCTGTAATCAATCGTTTTTTTTTCATACGTGATTTTCTTTGTGCGGCTATGAAAATAGGATTTTTTGCGGTCGAAGTATATTTACCAATGAGAAATTTATTAATTGCTGTACAAAATTTGTTGAGGCATTAGTTGTTGAGGTATTAATAATACTGGACAATATTGCAGTTTTTAGTTGTGCTTCATGTTGTGGATATCTTATAAAAGTGAAATGAAACTTTCCTTCAATTACACGTTCAATGTAATTTTTTATTTTGGATTAATTAATTAATTAATTAATTCGTGTTATGCTAAAATAACATTATATAATAATCATAATAACTGTACATATTTATAGTGCTCACAGTACTCAATAAAGCAATATCATTGTTATGTATCAGTAAGAACGTCAATGATAAAATATCAGCTCAAACATGTGGTTTGTTATATAAAATATGTTATATAAATGTTACATAACATTTTACCATCGATGTTATTTTATTGATATACAACAATAATACTGGTTTACTAAGTAATATAAATTTATTCTAAATGTGGACGATATTACAATTAAGAATATGTAACTATAGTATAAATATAGTAAAAAAGATTGTAATGGCCGAACTCCGCTGTTCGGTCGTCGCTACGCGTTTCGCGCGGATAATGCTCGTCGGAGTCCGGGTTCGAAGAGGAGCAAAGTAGCGAGACACTTGATAATGGCAATCGAAATAACTTAGCTTTATTCTATGCTTACTGAGATACAAGAGTTCGGCCCCGAAGGCGGTGTCGCGGGTCGCGTCTATTAGGCGCGTCGGTACGGTATGGTGTGGTGCGGTGAGCAGTATAAGCGCTCGTACGGACGGATAGGCCGCGCGGAAGGCGGGGCCTATTGCGCGACGCATGTAGACGGTAACGACGGTAACGGCGCGGTGATCGGTCTCGCTTCGCGACGCTGGGCGTTTCGGACAATTATCGCCCAATACTCGTCTCGCAATCGCTCGCGTATAGATGGCCGCCGGACCGGAGATTTCGACTCTCGGTCGAACGCACGCATGCGAGTCGCGGAATATGCGAAATGATTTCGTCCATCGGGGCCGAGGACTCTCGACAGAGAAAGCGTACGCACCTTCCCTTTTCCCTACGTTCGCGGAGGACAGCGACCAAGTGCTGCGGACACTCAGCGGAGACGGCGGACACACCGTCCCGGGTTCTTGGTCGCTAGACGGATCACCTGAAGGCTGAATACGCTCAGCGGAGTTCGCCGACGAACCCCTGACTCAAGGCGGCGGGTAAAGGCGAGAGACTGTCGAGTACGCTCGACTGACCACGCGTACGCACGAGCCCAGGAAGACGGGAAACGGCCAAGTATCGAGGACGCTCGATCGAGACTGTGGACGCACAATCCCGTGTTCTTAGTCGCCGGTCGGGTAGTTGGAAAGCGGAAGGCAGAGCGAAACGGCCCGGATATTCTTTCCTTCAGCATAGAGCGTCTGGATCGAACGGCGGTACGGATTGGTCTGGTGACTAGAAGCTCGATCGCCGCCGTTTTATAGTTGATCGCGCTACGATTGATACGGCGGCGATCGAGCGGCGCGCCTATCGGCGCGTGATCGCGGCCGCGCGCGCTAGCGGCAGCGCGTGATCGCCGCGGCGCGCGATAGCGGCGGCGCGAGATAGCGGCGGCGCGAGATAGCGGCGGCGCGATCGTTTCGGTAGCTTAGGGTGGCGTTAAGCGCCGTTCTTCGGCCCGACAGGTGGTCGGTCGGGCCGGTAGTAACGAGGTGCATCTGCGCCTCGTTACAAGATGAATTATATCATTTTATATTTACCTCTTCTATATAAGATGTATGTCTGATATCGTTCATTTCAAGTCCTAGCTGCAGTGGTTCCAATGTAACACTGTCTGGACAAAATTCTACATTACATGCAGATATTTCCATGTCTTCAAAACCAATATTAGTATTTGCTGCTATACATTTTATTCTACTGGGTATATTTATGCAAGGTATAGCATCATCTTTTAATTTGCGTCTAGTAAGTGAATAAATGTAATCTTCATGAAAATGTTTGTAGCAAACACGTACTTGATGTCTTAAATTGCTAATGACGTGTTTTATATTTTTATTTTAATACTTTTGAGCCATGACAAACGTCAACCAGGATCTTTTGGAAACTTATGCATAGATGGTTTTGCATTTGATGTACAACCTGGTACAATGCATGCTTTCCTCATGGTATCTGAAGTAATAAAATATGTAGATTTATTACTTACAGAACAACATAAATTATTGACAATAATTATACGAATAATTATACAATAATTATACAATACTTATATGAATGCTTTCGGATGCTTCCCATATAGCACAGAAGCTGCAGCAACATTGTTGTAACATTGCAAAATTGCATATTGCAGTGCAATATTACAGCAAAATTGCAAAAACAATATTGTGCAATATTATTTCTGCAATATTGTAGCTATATTGCAAAGATATTAATTTGCAGTAACAATTGAATATCCGTGGACGAATGTCCTATGTGACACTAAACGCTTTAACCTCCTCCGTTTTGTTGTAATCACTATTCGTTGATAGATGTTACAACAAAACTCGACTGCGATTGTTCAATTTTTAAAGCTTACGGCTTAAATCACCGAATGTAAAACTAGTTAAGGTTAAAGTCGGTCTTTACTCTATGACTTATTGTAAAACCAGCTTGTCGTCTAGAGATGCACGATCCCGATACCGATTCTATCTATAATCGATATTTTCTTTTCGATACAAGAAATTTTAGCATCGATACTGTGTACTTCGATTATGGTAAAGGATTGATACATTTGAATCGATTAATCGATGTCTTGTCCTTATGGTAAAGTAGCAAGTTGATTGGCGTGTCAAAAACCATTAGCCAATCAACTTCTTGTTTTTTGACAAACGTATATCTATCTTTTTCTAACCTGGCATCGTAGTTTATGTCGATCTTGTAGAAATGGCGTATCTTTACTGTAACTGCAATACGTTTCTGCGTCTTTTATACAAAAGGCATTATCTGTTAGCGCCAATTTATTTTCAATAGTTGTATGCCAGGAAATTCAAATTTCTCTATTATCTATATTATATATTTCTGTGCTTTTGTGGATATATGCCTTTCTGGATGTTTACTTTTATGAATATATGAATAATGCCAGGTCCAAGTAGTGTGGTTTGGAAACATTTTCGCAAAATTAACTCAAAACAAGCACAATGCAGGTGTTAAAACACTATTCTTTGTGTAGCAATACAACAAATTTTTGGACTCATCTTCAGAGGGTAAATGGAATAAACAAAGATAGCAAAATCGAAAAACTTACAACAGATTTAATAACTGACATCGACGATTCTGATTCTGTTAATGAAAATATGTTGGTAATTATTTTTGTGCTTATTTTTCATTTCTCTGTTATACGTCTAATATAAAAATTAGATAGTTTTTTATCTATATTCTTAACTCACTTCTATTAATAAGTTAATAAAAATACTTCTAAAAGTGACTTAGAATGTAACATGTACTATAGATGTTTGAGTAAAATTTTCCTCGAAACACAGATAGATGTTTTGGAATGCAACTTTGGTAAGTTAACTGGTAGTTAAATTATGTCTTTCTTTGTCTAAGTTAAAGAAAAAACAAAGACATATATGATTTAATTATCAATTAACTCAATTATCAATTAACTTACCAAGACGTTGGAAGAACCAGTTGTATATCTTGTATTTCTATTCTGTAATTTTTTACAATGGATATTTTCTATTTAATAACACAAGTTGACACAAGCTTCAGTCTGTCTTTTAGAATCTTTAACAAGACAACAAAGATAGATTGATACTTGTGTTATATACACAAATACAAAATTTATATTCCTTACTAGAAAATTTTCTTATTCTATCACATATTCTCTTTTTGTACAGGATGTTGTACTTCAAACATCTACAGCTAAGGATGTTCCTGTGAAAGTTCCTGCAACATTTCAACGTGCTAGAAAGAGAAACATCTCTGAATCTCTTTCTTGCTCTAATGACATTCGATCTCCTAAGCAATATTTGCTACAAGATTCTATACAAAGAATGAAATTGTTTGAAGGTATATCTTTTTCAAATACGTTTCCAAGAGAGAAGAGCATAATCTTCTCTAAATAGATTTTTTCGCGATTAAAATAAAAAATTAATTTTTTTGTTACAAATTTGAACGACATTTTTGTGATAGTGTAGAACAACAATAATAAACCTAAATATTATACAAGGGAAAAAAAAATAAAAAAGATTTAAAGATTTAGAATCAAGACAGGTCTGAAATTCATGCTTTAATATATTTATATTATTTCATATTAAAATCAAATATTTTTTCATTTTAGATGGTAGCACTCGATCAGCGCAGCTAAAAGATGCATTGCTGTACATGATTTGCAAAGATCGCTTACCCCTTTCTACTCCTGAAAAGAAAGGATTTCAATTTATATTAAAAAAAGCTGTATGATAGTTTTGGCGAGTAACGTGGCTATGAGCGAGATCAATTTTTAAGAAGGAACGTTTTCTATATATATAAAATTTTGTTACGAATAATATAAAAAATTAAATTTAAGTACCAAATGATTATATATAGTTATATTAGTTATAATATTAGTAGAATATAGTTATATACTTTTTGTTTCTTTCACTTAATATTGTTTATTAATGATTTTATATGGCATCCCAGATAGCAGATAATTAAAACAGAATGCATTCATATGTCACAAATTCTAAACTTATTTTCAGATGCAAATAGAATTCTAGAATTAAAAGAAGAATTCTTTTCTCAATTCTAAAACAAAAGAAAATTGCAAATTTGTTTCTGTATCATCTGCTTCATCTCGTTAGAAATATGGTTTAAAGCACCGGATATTGCAACTCGATCATTAAAATAAGTTTTCTTAAATCTGGGGTCCAATATTGTGGCAATAGCTATGGGGACATTTTGTTCAATGTTCATGAAACGACGGTTTAGTTCAGCAAGGATAAACCGTCTGAACTTTTCTGCTACCGGATCAAAATCCAATACATTTATAGAACGAATTTTCTAAAAAAATATAACAAATTTTTGTTAATATAGTTTAATTAATTATAGTATATGCGAGATATTCTTTGCGATATTGAAATATAATTAACTGAAAGAAACAAAAAGTATATAACTATATTCTACTAATATTATAACTAATATAACTATATATAATCATTTGGTACTCAAATTTAATTTTTGATATTATCCGTAACAAAATTTTATATATATATAAAACGTTCCTTCTTAAAAATTGATCTCGCTCATAGCCACGTTACTCGCCAAAACTATCACATAGTGATTAACATATATATTGATTAGATATTGATTATATATATTGACAGTATTGACAGAATACTTACTTCTCGCAATATATACACCATGGGTATAATTTTGCTAATTGTTGTGGAGTGCTCTGCGCTCATTTCTTTAGTTGCCTTGGTAAAAGGCCGAAGAATTGACGAGATTGTACGAATTGTGACTAATTCTGCTCCAGTCAACATATTCAGTGAAGAAAAATTTTAAATTACTTGACCTACTATGTCACTCAATTCTAAAAATCTCTCTAACATGAGAAAAGTGGAACTCCAACGAGTGACAACATCCTGTAGTAAATGAAGAACAGTACCTTCCGTTTTTCCTCTTTGCATTTGTATTTTTTTCAGCATGTCAGAAAAATTGTAGCTTTTGTGTGAGAAAGTAACTATTGTCTTCACTTTTTTTATTAAATCAAATACATCTGGAATATTTGAATTTGCTATCTCATTATCATAGATTATCTTCTTGGTTAATGCAGCTTTAGGAATGAGATTAAGTGTATGATCAAAGCATGGAATATATTTTTCAGTGCCAAATACAGTTTTAACCGCTTGCTTAATATTCTCGGCATTGTCTGTAACTACCATATTAACATTCCTGATATTAATACTCCACTCCTCACAAAAATTAATTATTTGTTCAGCTAAATGAACACTTGTATGGGATTCCGATAGTTGTGTTACTCCCAGCATTGCACTCTCCATGGTAGTGTTTATAAGAAAATGGACTATAATGTCGAGATAAGCGGTTGTGGTATGCTTCTCCGTCCAGCAATCACATGTTAAACATATAGATTCCATTTTCGTAATTTTGCTCTTCATACGTTCACTAAGAATATAATATTTATCTTCCATCATATTACTGACCCAGTAAACAATTTGATGCCAAATCGGCACCAAATTGGCACCAAATTTACCCAAAACTTGACGTCAAATCAGGTGCCATCTGTGTCCGCAAAAAGCTCGGGTTCTGGTACCAAAGATTGCGTACATAACCTAATGCCAAATTGACGCCAAATCCACAGCAAACTTTGGTGTCAGAATCCGACAGCAAATTGGCGCCAAATATGCAGCAAACCTTGATGTCAGAATCCGACAGCAAATTGACGCCAAATCCATAGCAAATCTTGGTGCCAGCCGCGATACCAAATTGATACCAAATCCACAGCAAACTTTGCTGTCAAAGTTTGACACAAATTTGACGCCAAGAATTAAATAAAATTTGTCGCTTTAATGCCATAATTTTTTTATTTCAGGAATTAAATGAGTCATAAATAAAAATATAAATGTTTTTATTAGAACCATATATATTACAAATTAGAGCTATTTAAATTTAAATAAATAAATAGGTAACTCCCTATATGTATATATGTTCAGTTCCACTCAATAAAAGATTATATTATATCATATATATATATATATATATATATATATATATGATATAATGTAAACTTTATTGAGTGGAACTTAAAAGTACCGATTGTTTAACACACGATTGCAACACAGATGTATCAACGTCAACGTCTTAAAAATGTGGCACTGAAAAGTGCCGATTTGCTCCACCCTCTTCGGGTAGAGTATGTGTGGTGTATGTGTGTAATGTGAGGCGTAGGAGCAGCACGCTACTCACAAGTGGCCCTGCCACTTGTACCACAAATACGTGTGATGTGTGTGTGCGTGTGTGAGCGTGTATGTGGAATCCCTCTCTCCTGCAGCAATTCCTCTCTCCTGTGCCAATCCCTCTCTCCTGTGACCGTGGATTGTCGCATCTGTAAATACCCTGTAAATACAAAAGTTTTTACCTTTTCAAAAAATTAACATAAAAATAAGTATTATCATAACTGTCGTAATTAACATATTACCGTTTATTTCCTTCTTGTTTCTTTATGTATTTTCGGGCTCTTCCTCTTGTTCTTCCTCACGACCGTCGCCCCATAAGTCCCTCATAAGATCCTTGGTCCTCCTGCCGTTGTTCCTTGTCTTCTGTTCCTGTGCCGCTCCTTAGCTGTTCGTAAGGCCGCTTGCATTTGAGTTTAGAACTCGGAACGCAGAGGCCTTTCGAAATGCCGATTACGACATATACCATCTGGAAAATTATGCTATCATTATATAACATGATATGTATCATATAGGTGCCGAAAAAAATATATTAATATCATGTGGCAAACACCGAACGTAGTGATATCATAACGACGTACTTGCTACGTCTGTCAAGATAGAGTTAAGTGACATGAATATATAAAAGCCTTATCATTTCTTACATAAAAACTTAGACGATATTCAGCCCTACACATAAATTTGCAGATTGGGTAAGTTACTATCATTTTCATAAGATCATAATAAATAACTTATGTGTTAGGCTTAAAATCGTTAAAGTTGTGATGCAAGGAATGGTAAGGCATTTATAGATTGCCGGTAATTATTCAGTTCAGGCTCCTCACCTCCGATTTGGCTGAAACTTACATATATTGTGTATTTTTACGCGTAGAAATTGAATCTATAAGTCAAAATTGTCGCTCTGCACTGTGAATTGAGATATAGGATCAGTTCTTTATAGCTGCACTCTGCTGAACTAATGCAATAAGTTAAAATCGGACAACTATATTTTTTCTCACTCTAAGTTATTGCATTAGTTCAGTATTGCAGCTACAAAGAACAGACCCAATAGTTAAAGTTGACTGGGATGACAGGTTAGAAAACCTGTCATACTAACGAGTTAATAGCAACACTAGTATACTCTGTGGCCAACCAAACAGCAATAATTTTATAGTTTCTAGATATACTTTAGAAGAAATGTTAGATTAAAAACAATTAAATCAGAATATTTATCAAAGTACCCAGCAAACACAATGTTACATGTAACGTACATGTTAGTTGTAATTTCTTATTAAATCTTTGTCTTCTCAAATGAGTATATATATTTGATTATAAATAATAAAAACATTTATTAAAAGATATATAAGAACGCAGGTGAGCACGCGCAGAGTATACTAGTGTCGCTACGATTAGTTGCGTGACAGATTTCCTAATCTATCATACCGGTCAACTTTAAAGTTTTATATCTCACTTCACGGTGTGGAGCGACGACTTTAGCTTACAGATTCGGTTTCTACGCGTCAAAATACATAATTTATGTGAATTTCAGCGACATCAGAGCTGAGGGGTCTAAACTGGATGATAATTACCTTATATTCATACGTGCTTATCCCTATCGAAATAGATATAGCAAGCACATCGCTACGTATGCGTCTTATTATTACTGTATTCATTATATATAAAAGTTACATGATCTTCAACGTCACACATACAGAGTGACAATGAAAATCGTAACATTCACACATAATAAATATAGAAATAATAAAACACATATACAACACGTTATGAACAAGAAGTGTACTTACCGTAGATGGCTTTCACCAAGCGAGTGTTGTACAATGCCTCTTGATTTTCCTTGCCCCCGAACCAAGTCAAAAGTGGCGTCAATGAGTCCTGGATGCTGTCCTTGAAACACAGATTTACAGCTTCTTTAAAGTTGAAGCCACCGATGTAATAGAAATAGTTGACCTGAAACAGAAAAGACAGGTATAATAACCAAACAAATATCAAGTGTAGTAAAAAGAAATCCATTATTTTTGCATGAAATTGAAGGCTTTAATTACCATAGTTAGAATCATCCGATTTAGGTCAAATATGCGCCGTTTTGTTCGATAACTTGTTGCCATTTCGAAGGTAATTTCATTATGCCTCTCTCATGGAAGCCCTCGTCCCTATTGGCAAAAAATTGAGACAGTCGATTTTCACAAGCCTCTCTTGAAGCGAATTTTTCACCAGCAAAATTGTTCGCCATGGACAGGAACAGATGGTAATCACTTGGTGCCAGGTCCGGACTATAAGGTGGATGCATAAGAACCTCCCAACCAAACTCCCGGAGCTTCTGGCGAGTCACTATCGATGTGTGTGGCCTGGCGTTGTCCTGATGGAACACAATTCCTCTCCTATTGGCCAAAGCTGGCCGCTTCTGGACGATTGCTTCCTTCAGACGGTCCAATTGTTGACAGTACAGTTCCGAGGTAAGTTGCTTCCCGTAGGGGAGCAGCTCATAGTAGATAATTCCCTGCCAATCCCACCAAACACACAGCAAAACCTTCCTGGCCGTCAATCCTGGCTTGGCCACCGTTTCCGCCGGCTCACCGCGATTCGACCACGACTGTTTTCGTTTGACGTTGTCGTAAGTGATCCACTTTTCATCATCAGTGACCAACCGCTTCAGAAATGGGTCGATTTTGTTGCGATTCAGCAGCGATTCGCAGATGGAAATTCGGTCCATGAGGTTTTTTTTCGTTAACTCGTGTGGCACCCATACATCGAGCTTCTTTTTGTATCCAACCTTATTCAAATGGTTCCAAACGGTTTTATGTGCAATCTTTAGCTCTTGGGCAATCGAAACAGTGCTTACATGACGGTCGGACTCGACAATGTCCATGATTTTATCGATATTTTCGACAACTGGCCTTCCAGTGCGTGGTGCATTTTTGACATCGAAATTACCGGAACGGAATCGACGAAACCAAAATTGCGCGTGATTGGCTGTTACAGTATCAGGACCATAAACACTATTCACATTTTCAGCCGCCTGGCTTGCGTTTTCGCCTTTATCGAAGAAAAACCGTAAAATATAGCGTATTTTCTCTTTGCTACTGTCAATCTTTGACGCGCGCTCAAACAAAACTAAGTCAACTAATCACAAAACTGTAACAAAAGTTTTTTTAGTACGAAGTCTCATCTTTCTAACGCCATGTAGTGAAACCCGCTCGGACTTATACAACGCGAGATACAGATAACTAAAGCCATCTATTGGAAAAATAATGGATTCCTTTTTACTACATCTGATAATACATCAAAAGGCGTCAAAATGTTTCTTTCTACTTACAGCATTGTTGTAAAGTTCTATATGAATATCCTGGGAAGCACGTAATTGTGCGATCGATGCTATGGGGAACATCTCTGGTCTACATGGCACTGAAGTACATTGGTTGGTGTTTTACACGCACTTGTAGATATTCTCCAAGAGTGTATTCATTTTTCTGACAACATAAAGTAAGGAAATATCAGTTTCAATTAATTTTTCTAAGATTAAAAAGTATATACTCACTTCATCTGTGTCTTCATATGATCTAAACGATCGTTTATCTCCCTGTATAGAAAAATAGCATTTTTTAACATTATTTTTGACAAATATACATATATATACACATATACGTACCGATATTGACTGTCCATCTTCTTCATTATCTGGTCTGGCATCATCGCAACACCATGCTGACCATAAGCTACTTGTTCAGACTGAAGCTGCACGTTCTCTCTCTGCATTCTTGTCCAACTCCGTGCGGTGTCCTGCAACTCAAAGTATTTATTACTAGCATAGTATGACGCTTCATTTTCCGGTACGTATGAATGATAAGTTTGGATGTGTGGTTCGTGTGTAGCTCCTGTAGGAGCAGTGTATGTGTGATGTTTGTGTGTGTAGGAATATGTGTGTGTGTATGAGGTGCCATGTATTGTGTATGTGTGGAATTATTAATTGAATGGGTACCGGTCTCTTTATCCTTATTCAGGATGGCCCTTATATCTTCAATATCCTCTTCGATCTCTCCCTCTGGTATGGCGCTTGGCGGGTATGCAGTCCTCTTCTGTGGTGGACCTTCATCCGATGAGGTAGTCTTGTAGCGAGTTAGTTTATTAACCACACGTTTTGGCCGGTCTTCCATCTGTAAGTGAAAACATGTATATAGATACATTAATATAGAATAATTGATAATAATATAACAATATATTCTTATAATATATAACTAATCAAACGATTCATTGTGTCTTCAGAAACAAAATAAGAAACAAATACAATTAATATGCTAATTCACAAACGTGGACTACGTGATGTAAAAACGATTGGATAGTTCCTCACGTAGTTAGCTTACTACCAATGAGTGGATCATTATTTAATAATATATCACATACGTTGCAATAACAAGTTACTCTGGAATTTTCCGTCCTCCGATGCTGCTGTTTCGACGGCTCATATGACTAGATTTAGACTCTAAACGCTATAAAAACTACAAAGCTTTAGGGTATGTTCGTGAACGTCATCCAAGTGTTCAGTAAAGTTTTATGAAATTAAATATTACGAGAACAATGAAGGTTGTTAGCACGCAACATATATGCGAATAGACAAATTTAATATATTCAATTTAACAGAAAGCAAAAGACAAATGTATGAAGCATGTGAGAAATGAAAATATGTAGATCATAAATAAACTATAAGCAAGTTTTATATCTTCTCGCTATGTATTATAAAAACGATGATGTATGTTTCTAAATGGTCTTCTTCATCACTACTGCTGTCGTCCATAGATAAATAATCCCAAAATGGTATTTTGTAATATTTTCCACGAATTTCGTTTAAAGGAACATAGAAACTGTCGTTACTCAATGTAGTACATTTGTATATTTGAAAACACGAAGATTTCATACCAACATCGTAAAAATCCTTTACATTTAAAAATCTTTTCACACACAAACGATAAAATTCATTGTTTTTGGTGATTTCACTGACGATGCAGATCGACCCATCATATAAAATACAACAATTGTCGCGTTCATCAATGCTTAATAAAATGTTATTAAAATTAATATTACGATACTGAGAAGAATTATTATTATTACCTAATTTTCACGCGCGAATAGAGGAATCAACGTTATATTCATTGTTTGTTCCGTGAAGCTGTTTTTCTGCCATTCTATTAAAAAACTGTTGTAATGGTAACCTGGTTTTCTGCAATATTTTCTAAATATAGACATGTTATTTTCATAAGGAAATGCAGAAAATGAATCCATATTTCCGAAACGTCTAACATCGTCAGTGAGATGAAGAAGACCGTATATATTATACGTAGTAAAATTTGGACCATACAAATTTACACAACGGAGAACAAATTTTTGCAATGCAAGTTCTGCAAAAGTGAGATGTTGTCCCGAAGGTGATTTTGATACTAAGATTCTAAGAGCAGCGTGTAAAAACAAGAAATGCTTATATATATTTTCCTCAAATAAGCCATACGTTACAACTGGGCCAGTATAGAGTAGAAATTGACGAAATTCTGTCGCTTTATATTTAGAAAAAACATCAAGAGATCTAGGACTTCGGACAAAATCCGAAGGACAATATTTTTGAAGAACATTTAACCTTGCATTTATTACAGATAAAGATTTTCCTGATAATTTAGATAACCGCGAGTATTTCCCATGTACCTATGCAAGTAAGAGTTTCTTCATTACACCTAAGCATACAAGATGCATGTAATCGAAAGGAACCTGTGAAACCATGCCTATCGGTATTAATGATAACGGACTTCTGCCCTCTCTATGATGATCCTCATCTAAACAATTAATATATTCCTCGTCAATTCGAAGATAACGATGAATGCCATTCAATGTAAAACGACTGTCCGAATATGTACCACAAATCTTACATTTTGAACAGGGTTGGCTAGACAGATGGCTACGGTGATTTAAAATAAAGGCTCGTGCTGGAGCATCAGCTATAAAACATCTTAAACGTATTTGTATCTTACAATTAAATAAAAATAATACCTCCATTAGACATAATTGCTTTAATATCTGTAACAAATTGTTGAAAAAAGTCATTAGGATCAGGTTGAGGTTTCTGAGTACCTTAGATCCCTACAACTATTGGTTTTGTATGTTTTAGATTTACAATTCTACACTGAATAGGCCAAATATGGACAGTACTTGATTTATCTAAATTACACCCATCAGTATTGAAATCTAATTCTAACTCTGTAAGATTTTCCAATAAAATATTTGCAAGAATCTCAACAATTTTACTTTCTAAGTCAACGTGGATATATTCCCCTGGTTCTACTTTTGATATTATAATATGATTTCGTGGTGTATTCAGAATCGTTCTAACATTTTTTGCCAAAGTAGAGAAACAAGAATGTGTTCGAAGAAGAGCTAATATACTATTACCTTGGACATAAGTTAAATTATTGTCTACGAAACACGATGCTAAACGTTCACTAAAAGATAATTCACTAGAAACATCCGGAGATAATGAAAATAAGTCGTTCATCTGTGAGTCACATGACGAAGAAGAAGATGTATCATCTATATTTATATCATCCCTAATATCAGGATTATCAATTGTGCAAGAAATATTTGATACATTTGATGGGCCAGGAAATTCTTGTACATGTTGAATATTATCTTGAACATTATCTGAACAACGAATATTATTGAGATATTTTTTCACACGTAAATTGCTTCTAATTTCATCCATAACTCTATTTTGCTGTCTAACGGATAATTTATCTAAAGCTTTCCACGAAATTGATGATTTAATATTAAATGTTGTCTTATTCATATTCACTTATCTTTCCTGCAACACAAACGATATTTGGTAATCTCCTCGGTAGCTTTCACAGCGAATCTTCACTCAGAAATTCTTTGTTAACCTTGCTCGTGCGACGGTTGAACTCAGAAAGACCAAAACAACGTAGGGGCCATGTGCTTTGTCCTTCTTAAGGCCCTTGCACGTAGAAAAGTTTTAACCGTAACCGTAAATCCGTAAGAAAATTGACCAATCACAGTCGATCCTTTCTCTTCTGACATTATAATAATCAACTGCGATTGGTTGATTTTCTTAAGCGTGGTCTACAAGGGACGCGTTCTGTTTCACGCATATGCGTGCATTTATATATAGTTCATATTACATATACTGTAGGAAATGCGCGCATAATGCGTGAAACGGAACGCAGTCTAGGTCAATCACAGTCTTTTCCGCGCAATTCAAAGCGATTGTCACTTTAGAAAGGACATTACGTTGTTTCAGTCTAAATTCAACCGTTGTGCTAGAGAGATTAAGGAAACATTTCTTAGTCAATATTAACAGTGAAAGCAGCGAAGATTCCTAAATATTACAAGTGAAGTCGTCGAAACAGCACCATCGGAGGACGGAAAATTCCAGAGTAACTTGTTATTGCAACGTATGTGATATATTATTAAATAATGATCCACTCATTGGTAGTAAGCTAACTACGTGAAGAACTATCCAATCGTTTTTACATCACGTAGTCCACGTTTGTGAATTAGCATACTAATTGTATTTGTTTATTATTTTGTTTCTGAAGACACAATGAATCGTTTGATTAGTTATATATTATAAGAATATATTGTTATATTATTATCAATTATTCTATATTAATGTATCTATATACATGTTTTCACTTACAGATGGAAGACCGGCCAAACGTGTGGTTAATAAACTAACTCGCTACAAGACTACCTCATCGGATGAAGGTCCACCACAGAAGAGGACTGCATACCCGCCAAGCGCCATACCAGAGGGAGAGATCGAAGAGGATATTGAAGATATAAGGGCCATCCTGAATAAGGATAAAGAGACCGGTACCAATTCAAGTAATAATTCCACACATACAAAATACATGACACCTCATACACACACACATATTCCTACACACACAAACATCACAACATACACTGCTCCTACAGGAGCTACACACGAACCACACATCCAAACTTATCATTCAAACGTACCGGAAAATGAAGCGTCATACTATGCTAGTAATAAATACTTTGAGTTGCAGGACACCGCACAGAGTTGGACAAGAATGCAGAGAGAGAATGTGCAGCTTCAGTCTGAACAAGTATCTTATGGTCAGCATGGTGTTGCGATGATGCCAGACCAGATAATGAAGAAGATGGACAGTCAATATCGGTACGTATATGTGTATATATATGTATATTTGTCAAAAATAATGTTAAAAAATGCTATTTTTCTATACAGGGAGGTAAACGATCGTTTAGATCATATGAAGACACAGATGAAGTGAGTATATACTTTTTAATCTTAGAAAAATTAATTGAAACTGATATTTCCTTACTTTATGTTGTCAGAAAAATGAATACACTCTTGGAGAATATCTACAAGTGCGTGTAAAACACCAACCAATGTACTTCAGTGCCATGTAGACCAGAGATGTTCCCCATAGCATCGATCGCACAATTACGTGCTTCCCAGGATATTCATATAGAACTTTACAACAATGCTGTAAGTAGAAAGAAACATTTTGACGCCTTTTGATGTATTTGTTTGGTTATTATACCTGTCTTTTCTGTTTCAGGTCAACTATTTCCATTACATCGGTGGCTTCAACTTTAAAGAAGCTGTAAATCTGTGTTTCAAGGACAGCATCCAGGACTCATTGACGCCACTTTTGACTTGGTTCGGGGGCAAGGAAAATCAAGAGGCATTGTACAACACTCGCTTGGTGAAAGCCATCTACGGTAAGCACACTTCTTGTTCATAACGTGTTGTATGTGTTTTATTATTTCTATATTTATTATGTGTGAAAGTTACGATTTTCAGTGTCACTCTGTATGTGTGACGTTGAAGATCATGTAACTTTTATATATAATGAATACAGTAATAATAAGACACGCATATGTAGCGATGTGCTTGCTATATCTATTTAGATAGGGATAAGCACGTATGAATATAAGGTAATTATCATCCAGTTTAGACCCCTCAGCTCTGATTTCGCTGAAATTCACATATTTATGTAAATTATGTATTTTAACGCGTAGAAACCGAATCTGTAAGTTAAAGTCGTCGCTCCACACCGTGAAGCGAGATATGAAACGTTAAAGTTGACCGGTATGACAGGTTAGGAAATCTGTCACAGCAACTAATCGTAGCGACACTAGTATACTCTGCGCGTGCTCACCTGCGTTTTTATATATCTTTTAATAAATGTTTTTATTATTTATAATCAAATATATTGCGACGCGATTTTCGCTCGCCGTCGGCAAACGACCGTCGGCCCACGCGTCTCGGCCGTTCACTCTCACAAAAGTGGTTGGGCGCCAGGTGCAGCGGGCTGCACCGATCACCAACGCGAAACGGAACGCCACCAAAGGGCCAAGACACGCGAATTCGACGGGACCGGTAGCTCCTCGGTATTTTAAGTCGGTAGACGGAAGGGTTCGATCGGGTATCCGGGTCGCAGTCGGGAAAACACAAGAATAGTAATGCGCGTTTTGATTATCTCACTTTTTATTCTCTCGGGAATCGGAACGGTCCAACCCCTCGATACGGTAAACTCCGCTGTGTGCTCTCGCGAATTCGAGCTTTGCTCTTCGCCGACAACTAAAACGAGACACTGTACGCACGCGACACCGAAACAATAAAGCAGGTGGACGGTCTTACAACTTCGGGAACCTTCCTGCGGCGTGGTCCTTCGCTTTCCTCCTTCCTCCACTCCCTCGGGCGCAACGCAGCCACCGATGGTTCCTCCTTGGACGAGGGGAACACCAAAAAAAACCTTTTCTCCCGCTAACTTCAAAACGACTCTTTTCCGCAACGATAGGCAATAAGCAATCCGCAATGCTCGGAAGCAGACCGGCGATATCAGAGAGAGCGAAAACGGCAGTCCCCTCTTTTATCTCCTTCCACAGAAATGTTTTCTCGTTCTCTTCTGTTGTGTCGTGCTACCCGTCTCTCCCCGTTCCTCGTTACCTCTCCCAATACGGGAATCCTTCCGCGGATCTCTGTTTTCGATCCGCGGGACGGGTGCTCGGTCTCACTTTGGCGCGTGCTCTCTCTCTCGCTCCCGCGGTCTCCTCGCCTAGGCCGGCTTTGTCTAAACGGCGATCACGCTCCGAGCACGGGAGCACCGACAGCTTCTTCGGATATTCCTGCAGGCCTGGGGACACGGGAACGGCAGCGAGAATCTCTTAAGGCGATACGGGAATCAGTAATATTACTCATAAGGGGGAGCATTCACCTGAGGTGGCGGTCTTGTCGAGGGGATGCGTCCTCTTCCTTCCTCTGATCCCTCCGGTCCTGATGGGCGGCACAGGAGGTCCAGGGGCATAGAGCTCGGGGACGCGGGACCGTTCCACCTGCGCCCTCCTATTACTAACACTAATTAATACGGGGGCGCAATGCGGCTCCCCCCCCGCAATTCTCGCGCGATGTACTGTCCGCCCCCCCCCCCGCAAACCTCACGTAAGGACCGAGAGTTCGCACTGGGACGGGCGCCTTCCCGGCTGCCACGTCACAATATATACTCATTTAAGAAGACAAAGATTTAATAAGAAATTGCAACTAACATGTACGTTACATGTAATATTGTGTTTGCTGGGTACTTTGATAAATATTCTGATTTAATTGTTTTTAATCTAACATTTCTTCTAAAGTATATCTAGAAACTATAAAATTATTGCTGTTTGGTTGGCCACAGAGTATACTAGTGTTGCTATTAACTCGTTAGTATGACAGGTTTTCTAACCTGTCATCCCAGTCAACTTTAACTATTGGGTCTGTTCTTTGTAGCTGCAATACTGAACTAATGCAATAACTTAGAGTGAGAAAAAATATAGTTGTCCGATTTTAACTTATTGCATTAGTTCAGCAGAGTGCAGCTATAAAGAACTGATCCTATATCTCAATTCACAGTGCAGAGCGACAATTTTGACTTATAGATTCAATTTCTACGCGTAAAAATACACAATATATGTAAGTTTCAGCCAAATCGGAGGTGAGGAGCCTGAACTGAATAATTACCGGCAATCTATAAATGCCTTACCATTCCTTGCATCACAACTTTAACGATTTTAAGCCTAACACATAAGTTATTTATTATGATCTTATGAAAATGATAGTAACTTACCCAATCTGCAAATTTATGTGTAGGGCTGAATATCGTCTAAGTTTTTATGTAAGAAATGATAAGGCTTTTATATATTCATGTCACTTAACTCTATCTTGACAGACGTAGCAAGTACGTCGTTATGATATCACTACGTTCGATGTTTGCCACATGATATTAATATATTTTTTCCGGCACCTATATGATACATATCATGATATATAATGATAACATAATTTTCCAGATGGTATATGTCGTAATCGGCATTTCGAAAGGCCTCTGCGTTCCGAGTTCTAAACTCAAATGCAAGCGGCCTTACGAACAGTTAAGGAGCGGCACAGGCACAGAAGACGAGGGACAACGGCAGGAGGACCAAGGATCCAGAGGGACTTATGGGGCGACGATCGTGAGGAAGAACAAGAGGAAGAGCCCGAAAATACATAAAGAAACAAGAAGGAAATAAACAGTAATATGTTGATTACGACAGTTATGATAATACTTATTTTTATGTTAATTTTTTGAAAAGGTAAAAACTTTTGTATTTACAGGGTATTTACAGATGCGACAATCCACGGTCACAGAAGAGAGGGATTGCCACAGGAGAGAGGGATTGCTGCAGGAGAGAGGGATTCCACATACACGCTAACACACGCACACACATACACGCACACACACATCACACGTATTTCGCAGGGCCACTTGTGAGTAGCGTGCTGCTCCTACGCCTCATATCACACACATACACCACACATACTCTACCCGAAGAGGGTGGAGTAAATCGGCACTTTTCTGTGCCACATTTTTAAGACATTGACGTTGATACATCTGTGTTGCAATAAACAATCGGTACTTTTCAGTTCCACTCAATAAAAGTTTACATTATATCATATATATATATATATATATGATATAATATAATCTTTTATTGAGTGGAACTGAATATATATACATATTGGGAGTTACCTATTTATTTATTTAAATTTAAATTGCTCTAATTTATTATATATATGGTTCTAATAAAAACATTTATATTTTTATTTGTGACTCATTTAATTCCTGAAGTAAAAAAATTATGGCATTAAAGCGACAAATTTTATTTAATTCTTGGCGTCAATTTTGTGTCAAACTTTGACAGCAAAGTTTGCTATGGATTTGGTCAATTTGGTATCGCGGCTGCCACCAAGATTTGCTATGGATTTGGCGTCAATTTGATATCGCGTATGACGCCAAAGTTTGCTGTGGATTTGGCGTCAATTTGGTGTCGCGTGCTGGCGCCAAGATTTGCTGTGGGTTTGGCGTCAATTTGGTGTCGCGTTGACACCAAGGTTTGCTGCGTATTTGGTGCTAATTTGCTGTCGGATTTTGACATCAAGGTTTGCGCTGTATTTGGCGCCAATTTGCTGTCGGATTATGACACCAAAGTTTGCTGTGGATTTGGCGCCAAGGTTTATCATGTATTTAGCGTGAATTTGTTGTCGGGTTCTGCCACCAAGGTTTACTTTTTATTTGACGCCAATTTCTTGTCGGATTTTTGTCAAGCCTTGCTCTGTATTTGACGTTAATTTGGCATCAAATTGTGTACGCAAAGTTTGTTGCATATTTGTTAACAATTTGTCGACGTTATTTGAAATACAAGTTTTGTTTCAAATTTGTGCTGTTTTTGCTGACAAAATTTGTAGCATGTGTTTGGAATTATTTGGCATTACAAATTTGGCTATCTGGGGAGAATCGTACGACAAGGTGGGGTCCATAAGGGCAAAGCTTTTTTTAATATAATTTGAAATCCTCTCTTTTCAGCAGTAGAAAGGGGTAAGCTTTTTAACATAGTTAAAAAGCTTTTTAACGGTGAGGCTAATAAGGCAGTTGCGTCTGTAGTTCAAATTAAGATAGAAGACGTTGCAATTGAAGATAATTTAGAGGATTTATGGCAAATACATAAAGTTAACATGATAAAGAGTGTAGCTGTCTCAGCATATGAAACGACTGAAGGTCATCCTGTGGAATTACGTCAATATTTAAATAAACCACTAACGGCTATAACAGCAAATCCTCTTGAAACTTGGGAAAAAATGAAAACAGAATTTTCTCATCTTTATATATCAGGTGTAGTAAAAAGAAATCCATTATTTTTCCAATAGATGGCTATAGTTATCTGTATCTCGCGTTGTATAAGTCCGATCGGGTTCCACTAGATGGCGCTAGAAAGATGAGATTTCGTACTAAAAAAACTTTTGTGACAGTTTTGTAATTAGTTGACTCAGTTTTGTTTGAGCGCGCGTCAAAGATGGACACTAGCAAAGAGAAAATACGCTATATTTTACGGTTTTTCTTCGATAAAGGCGAAAACGCAAGCCAGGCGGCTGAAAATGTGAATAGTGTTTATGGTCCTGATACTGTAACAGCCAATCACGCGCAATTTTGGTTTCGTCGATTCCGTTCCGGTAATTTCGATGTCAAAGATATACCACGCACTGGAAGGCCAATTATCGAAAATATCGATAAAATCATGGACATTGTCGAGTCCGACCGTCATGTAAGCACTGTTTCGATTGCCCAAGAGCTAAAGATTGCACAAAAAACCGTTTGGAACCATTTGAATAAGGTTGGATACAAAAAGAAGCTCTATGTATGGATGCCACACGAGTTAACGCAAAAAAACCTCATGGACCGAATTTCCATCTGCGAATCGCTGCTGAATCGCAACAAAATCGACCCATTTCTGAAGCGGTTGGTCACTGGTGATGAAAAGTGGATCACCTATGACAACGTCAAGCGAAAACGGTCGTGGTCGAATCGCGGTGAGCCAACGGAAACGGTGGCCAAGCCAGGATTGACGGCCAGGAAGGTTTTGCTGTGTGTTTGGTGGGATTGGCAGGGAA